CATAACTTTCAGCCCCTTAAACATGTTAATGCTGGATGGTCCGACCAGAGCCATAACTTTCAGCCCCTTAAACATGTTAATGCTGGATGGTCCGACCAGAGCCATACCTTTCAGCCCCTTAAACATGTTATTGCTGGATCGTCCGACCAGAGTCATAACTTTCAGCTCCTTAAAGATCTCGAGTCCCAGGGGTTTCTGCATTATCCCCCCCCCCCTTTTTTTCCCCCACGCAATGGTCTTTCAGGTCGTCCGCTGAGGTGGCTGAGACGAACAACAACCACATGAAGTGCCATAAGGCCTGGCCAGTGCTGAAATAAAATGTCTCGCTCCTATTCTGTACATGTAAGTCAGGCGCCAAGCTCGGAGTGAAAAAAAAATGAAATGTTAAATTTAAAAAAAAGAATGTGTCAATTAAAAAAGACTTTTATTTCGAATAGGAGTTGAAACCTTACTCAAAATTGTATTGAAGGATAACGCCTTGAAAATCAACAGTGGTTATTTTTTTAAAATGTTAATTAAGGAGCCTGGAAATTATTATTTTTTTTTTTCTTCTTTATTTTTTTTTTTTTGGATTTTTTTTTGACCTAATTTTAAAACCGTTAAAAAAAAAAAAAGAAAGAAAGGTTTGATTCCGTCAGAGCCACATTTAGATTGAACAGCGCAATAAGCTGCTGAGTGCGTACGGTTCGACGGAGCTCCCGAAAGACACGTAAAAAAAAAAACGAAGACCGTTTTCATTAATTGTTTTATCTGTATCACCATAAAAAAAAAACAAAAAAAACAGACACAAATAAAAGGTGTGGAAAAAAACAACAACAAAAAACTCATTAAATTTTTTCAGAACTTCAGGACGCCAAAAGCTAAAAATAGTCTGATCGTCGCGTCATAGATCACCAGGTATTTACACAAATCTTTGGGTTTTTTTTGTTGTTGTTTTTTTGTTTTTACCGCTATGTGGAAAATCGAAAAGGATTAGTTAGCCACACGTGGAGGTAATTTGGCTCAAAGCACGGGATGAGGCGAACCGGCGTATGAATATTTACCTACGGGTGTAGGGCTGACATTGGCTGATTTAACGACCACCTTCGGTGCAAGAGGTTCCCGCGCCCCCTGTTCCCGAGGGCTCGTTAGCGCCCTGTGGAGGTCAGGGTGTCGCCCATGACACCTCAGATATATGGCCGCTCTGCAGCGTGCAAGATTTTTTTTTCCTTTTTTGTTTTTTTTTGTTTTTGGTGTGTTTTCGGAAGATGCGGAACATGCAAAAGTTAACATCGAGTCCCAGGAAATAAAT